CACCATCAACATCTTCATGCGTCTGGTGATGATCCTGTCCGGCGCCGGGAGCAGGAGGAAGTGACCCGCAGAGATGCCGCACACATCAGCCAATCAGCCGCTCGAGATGATCATCAGTTCTGTTCAGAGTTAGGGTTCTGCTCCGCTGAGCTGCGGGTCAGATGAACACACACACACACACACACACACCAGTTGCTCTCTTTACTCTAGTTCAGTGTATTTATGTCAGCTCTGCCAGCGCGAGGATGCTGTAATGCTGCTCTTACACACACACACACACACACACACACACACACACACACACACACACACCCACATACAAACACGCACATACACACACAGATGCTGAACACTCAATAAACCTCCGTCTTGCACTAGATCTTGAGTGTGTGTTCATTCCGCACTGCAGACATCACCACACACACACACACACACACACACACACACACACACACACACACAGTACACAGCATTTGGGCAGTGGTGTGAGGAGGAGATGGGGTGGTTCACAGGGGTTCAGCTGATCTCAGAACAGATGATGAGGTTTGAGTTGTGTGACGGACAGCAGTGAGTTTGCAGTGTGTGTTGGACTGGGCAGATCAGTCCACCAGTGAGGAACAGTGAGCGAGAAGCTTCTGGAAACTGACTTACAGCCTCTCTCTGATGGAACCACAAGGTGGCGCTCACTTCACACACTCGCGCCGTATAGTGCTGATCATCATTAGCGCTGAATCTGCTCTCAGTGTTCCAGTCTGATCTCTGACACACACACACACACACTCACTCATGCTTTATTTTTCATGTCTGAGCGCTGCACATGACAGAGAGATTAGCGAATAATCCAGAGTCTCCATCTGTGTGCTGAACACTGAAAGCAGGACACGGCCAGCTGTAAACACACACACACACACACACACACACAGGGTCAGATATTCAGCAATGTCTGCACACACACGCGCGCTGCTCTGAAACCCCTCAGACTGACTGCAACTGCAGATTAACACACATCAGAAGAGACGAGCAGCAGAGGGAGCTCACACACACTCTTACACACGCGCGCACACACACACACACCTAATGAATATGCTATCTGATGTTTTCCTGTTCATCCTGAATCACCAGAAACAAATATTTCAGTGTGGAGCACATCCAGCATCATCACCATCATCATCACCATCACCATCATCACCATCCTCATCACCATCATCATCATCACCATCATCATCACCATCATCGTCACCATCATCACCATCATCATCACCATCATCACCATCATCATCATCATCACCATCATCATCTTCATCATCATCATCATCACCATCATCATCATCATCATCACCATCATCATCACCATCATCATCACCATCATCATCATCATCATTATCACCATCATCATCATCACCAGAGCAGTGGGGAGTTGGAGTTCAGCTCCACCTGCAGGACTGAAGCAGAACTACAGTTGATGGAGGACCACTACACCTCCACTACTTCTCGTTCTCCACTCCTCATTGAGATGTTGGTGGGGTTGAGAGCAGGGGAACTGATGTCCTGTTCTTGTCCATGTATATTTTCCTGATGGATCAGACGCTGCTGGACATGTTGAGGTCTCTGTCTTTCCATGAGCAGTGCCTCTGCGGTTCCAGCACTCCTGGATCCAGCCTTTCTCTAGGCTGCTGCATGTTGAGGGGTATGGAGTTCATGCAGGCTCTATATACGTGCAAAATTAAAGAAAGTTTTGCAAAACCAAAAAAATAAAAGTATTAATCGAAAAACAAATGAAGAAATGCAAACATCACAAGGTGGAAATGAATGAGAAATAAAAATGTACAAACAAAAAGAGCTGCAAATCAGTAAATTACGCAGTGCAGACAGCCCAAATATTCACGATAAAGAACAATACAAATGCAATGCAATAGAAAACGTGGTGTTGTGCGGTAGCATCCCAAATTCAAGTCCAACCGCACAGCACACTGCTTTAATGCCAACTGCAGACGTCTCTGGCTAAATGGGAGCTGAATGGAGTGCGTAGCTGATTAGTAAAGCTGGACTCTGCTGTCCTCATGTGATGTCAGGTCAGTTGACGCTCTGCTGAATCAGACTCATCTCTGGTTTCTGATTGCAGAAATGATTTCAGCAAAACAGCTACATGTGGATAATTAAACTGCAGACACTGAATGTTCAGAACGGTGTCGTGGCTTTCGGCTTTTCTCTTAATGAATCAAACTCAGTCTGGGGGTTATGAATACCAGAAGAATATATTTTATTGGAATATTTTCCAAAAAAGCACAGACGTCCATAAGCAGACCCATCTCAGTCTGTGCCCAGGACAGATCCAATCTCCCTCAGATTTGCTGTTCCCTTTATCCTGGCTTTTCACAGCTGTTTACTGGTTCAACAGGCCTATGCTAGCTCCTACTGCTTTGCGACCACTATTTAAAGACCCCTCTTCCTGTTGGCCCTTATAATATCCAGATCTAATAGGATCATCACTGTTTTTCCACACACAGTTCACGTTTGGTAATCATGACTAGTATCTGTGCTTCAAACATCTGAACTGGACTCTTCTCTCCCGTACACCATGTGTCTTCTCAAACATACATGACACTTTCAACACATGTTGTAAACATGTCATGCTTTTCTGACACAGATAGTTCTCGTTGTATCCCCAAGTCCTCTCTCGTGCTCTGATGACCCGTTTGCTTTAACCTGTCACCTGTTTTCAAAGACATATAATGGCAGATCTATAGGCCCTCCACTCACCCAGTGAAATGTGTCTTCATAGGGGTTCGGGAAATAAAACAAATCTTCTCCAATGAAAGGTGAAAGTGTAAGTTATTAAGGTAAAGTTGGTTATATATTCACACATTTATTCAGTGACCGCTTAGGCCACACAAAAGGAAAAACTCACTTCATTTTGGCATTTTATTTCTTAAAACAAGACAATAAGTTTTGCTTGTCTAGAAAATGCTGCTTGATTTAAGAACTTTCAGATATTTGGACTAGAAACAAGACCTAAAATCAAAGTAAGAAAAGCTTTTTTTGCAGTGCAGACTCTCCAGCGTTTTCTCCAGAGTTTCATGCAATTTCGAGTGTTTCATTTTTAGCTTTCGACTTCTGTTTTAATAGAATTTGATCCCGCATGGCGAACAGAAAGAAAAACCTCAGCATTTCGTGACTCGGTGGTCCTTTAAGGTAGACTGCTTACATGGTCGACTCTTAATAAGAGTGTTATCTTAATCATATTTAAAATCTGAGTATTGGTGTCTTGTGTAAATGTACTCAGAAAGAAGATGTCGCGAGCTGTCAGACAGCACATTCATCTGCCTTTCAGCATGAGCCCTTAAACACAAGCGTCTGCTTCACGGTGTTGTGTCAGAATCCTTGTGAAATACAGCCAGACTTCAGAACCCTTAGTTAAAGCAAATTTGATGAACGCGATCATGCGTGTTGAATCTGAAGGGAGTCGCTTCGCCTGCCCTGTCCTGCGCACGGTGTGTGTCTGTCTGTGTGTGTGCGCGCGCGCATGTTTCTTAGCAACAAACCTGCATAAACGCCCGTAGCCACTAAATCAAAAAGTTACGAATTGCTGTGAGATTGCGTTGCCCTCTCAGCTCACATTATTCAAAAGAAAAGGTCCACATTGTTCCCCAATAATGCCAACAGAGTGGACTGTCTTAGCAGCTGACTGAATGTAAAGGTTTAATTGTTTCTGCTTTATAATTAATGTTTTCAACACACAGCAATACAACTTTACAATGAGAACAACTGTTTGTATTCAATACTTTATTGTTATTATAATTTTCCATTTTTCACATCAGTTATGCCTGTATTTTGGCATTTTTTGTGGTCCACTTATGATCCAACTTGTGAATAATTTTTTTCTTTATTAGTATTGATTATTTTGAAATTCATGTCACTAACATGCCTGTGTTTAATTCCTGTAATAAATATGGCTGTCAGGCCAGGATCTTGATGGTTTATTGTGGGTTTGTTGTTTACATGAAGAAATCTGTGATACAAGTTAAACAAAAATACTAATAAACAGTTATATATTGAATTTAAATAGTTTTTGTCTTGTGTTAACATTGATTTTACATTTGAATAGCCAAAATGACAAATTTCAGTCTTTTAAATGCGATTATTCGCGATTAATTTTCCAAAAAAGGTGCAATTAATTAGTTAATTTTTTTAATCTATTGACAGCACTAATATAAATATATAAATATATATATATATATGGGTGTATGTGCTCCTCTACTGACTCCAGATCAGCTGCTAAGAGCGAGCGCGCACGCGTGAGAGTGTGTGTGTGAGCGCAGTGAGCTGACACACACAGGATTAAGCTTCTGCTCCTCTCAGTCGGTGTTCAGACGTCTTCAGATGAGCAGCGTCTCCAGCGTCTCCTTATGATCCTTCAGCTGGTCTTCAGGCTTCTGCAGGATGGAGAGTTTGAGGAACACACACACTCTTCTGCTGCTGCTGCTCTCTCTGTGCATGTCTACAGGTGAGTTATTGACCGATTCTGCTTATACAGGACAGGAGTGTGTTCCAGTAATCAGCCTCAGATGCTCTCAATAATCCTTTAAGTATGGGCTGTGTGTGTGTGTGTGTGTGTGTGTGTGTGTGTGTGTGTGTGTGTGTGTGTGTGTGTGTGTGTGTGTGTGTGTGTGTATGTATGTGTGTGTGTGTGTGTGTGTGTGTAAGTGTGTTGTGTATGTTGTGTGTGTGTGCGTGTGTGTGTGTGTGTGTGTGTGTGTGTGTGTA